TACCTGGCACTGCAAAACTACTCAATGCGACACATGTTGGACCCAGAAATCGATTCCAAAATAGAATAATGACACAGAAAGCTTCATCCTACAAATATTGGTTCTTTAGGCTTGTTCCATATGAAACCCTAGAAGTCCAGCTTTTTGGCATCAGTTTCAAGGTCCTTATTTTGCTTCAAGCATCCCAAAAAAACCCCACATTGACATATTAATATGGTGAAAAAGTTGGTTTTTAAAGAGTTTGAAGAGTTTAAATGGTAAATCCAAAGCCAGGCGCATTCTTAACTACATGTAGTTAGAGGTCACTTCCTGTTCCTGGATGCTGTGTTGGGCTGTTCGCGGTTCTGTCCTGCTCTATTGGATTAGAGAAACTTTAGTTGTAGCAACAGCAGCATTTCTTGTGTTGTTTCTCTTGCAACATTGTTTCATTATTTTCAATTTCATGCTTAAATATTAGATTTCGGTGTGAAATTAGGATTGTATTGGTGTTTATGAACGCCGCTGCACCCTCTTCCGTCGCACCGTGTCAACCAGACACCTGCTTCCAGCTCTTGTTTCATCTCCGCTGTACTCAGCTGTGAGCAAGACGAACGACTGGGTGACAATTACAAAAGGTGGCTCAGCCTGAGAGGAGACCTGCTGGCTGTGAAGATGTTCAATGGTTTGCCCCGCTGCTCTCCCCTCAGGCACGCCGCTCGCTACTGAGCCAGGAGAAAGGTGGCAGGAGCCTCCGTTAACTCACTCATCTTCATAATTAAGACTCGCAATTATAAGGCTTTGTCACTGTCTGTTTGCCTGCCCTCGGGGCTCCGACTAGAAAGCCTGACGAGGAAAAAAGGGGAGAGGAGTGGAGGAGATTAAAAGAGGTGGGAGTCAAAAAGCGATAAGAGAGACAGACGCAGTTTGAAGTTTCAAGCGGCACAAAAAAAAAAGACAAAAAGAAAAGAATGTGTGTATTTGAGAGTGCTGGGAAAGTGAGAGAAAGGCCTTTAAAAGTCCGGTCAAGTCCCAGAGGATGTGGCAGAAGCCAACTGTTCACTTACAGACACAAACACACACACTCACAAACCAAACAGACCTCTTTATGTGCGGTCTATTTTACTTTTGGATTCTCCAACTTTTGACAAAAAGGCAGAACATTATCAATGAAAATCTAGCTCGTTAAAAAATGTGCATACATGTGTAAATTTTTTTTTTTTAAAGTCGTAGGCCTGATAATCTCTGCAGAGGAGAGTGACAGAAGTCATTTTTAAACTTCAAAACAGTCCGATTCATTAGTTTTATCGCCACTACTTGAATTTTAATTTCATTTTCACCAAATTTGTCTCCTCTGGATCTCTGTTTTCCAGCTTGAATCCACTTCCTGATCACCGTATCTGGCTGTGTTTCAGTCCTGGCACACACCCGAACCTTTGCACAACTGTAATTACTGTCTCTGGGCGTCAACTCTGATTTGATTTACTGTGAGACGGGCTCCTGTCTGCCCTTTCATTCATCCACCTGTGGTCAATCCATTTTCCAGGAAAAGGCAGCGAAAGAAAAGAAGAGAAGCTCGCGTCAGCTTGACATCTAGGGAGCGACAGGGGTTTGACGGCCGTGACAGTTGTCTGGGCCTCCCGTCCGTCACCTTATACCTTCCCCCGGCTGTCCGTCAACCCTCCCCCTTGTCATCACGGCTCTGTGGTTCTGCAGATAATGCAACTTGTTAATTAGGCATGCGGTAGATTAATTAAACTGATACCGAGGTGCAGGTTCACCATTCTTCTCCGTGCACGGGAGTGTTGTCATTGCCAAGGTGAGAGGAGACAAACAAAGGCAGGGAATTAATGTGCACGGGATGGATTTTCTTACCTCGTGTGACTTTAAACAGCCTGATCCCGCTTTCTCCCTTCTAAGATAGGCTGCTGAAAAACCCTGAGTGTACTCTTTCCCCAATAAAGAGCAGCTTCAACTGCATTCTGGTGTGCTTATCATCCACTCGTTTTCTATAGTAAAAGAGGAAAGAATGCCGAGTGAAGAAGATGGATGAAAGCGCAGAGGTGGTGAAAGAGCATAACAAGATGGAGACACATAAAAGATAGAAGTGCTGGAGTCAGTGTTTGGGGCGTAATCCCAGAAGCTCCGACCTCAAGTGCCGGCTTTAAAAAACAGCAATTTAACCCGGCAGTAAAGGGGGAAGGAAAAGAGAGCAAAGCGCTTACTCTATCCGTCTCAATCCCCCTCTTTAAAGCAGGACACGCAGGAGCAGCGAGCTCAGGTGTGAACAGCTGGGAGACTGTCTGCCCCAGAAATGGCGAGCCTTAATCTCCACTGACCTTTTCTCTCATCATCCGGTTGGACCTCAGCCACTGTCAACGTCCTCAGTCATGAGCACACACACCGAGATGAACAAGAGCTCAATGTGTCCTCTGCCTCATATTCATCCAAACACCCTGTTTACACAGCTTTGATTCATGGTTTCAGAGTCGGCCGTTATCCACCAAATATCCGACCCTTCCTGCTTCAGACTGAGCAGTGTAAACTACAAAAATGTCCGTCTTGAGTCCTCTGATTAATCATGTTACATAGCAATGGATCAAACGCATATATGTCATGGAAAAGGAGGATGCTTGTGGTGACAAATCTGGAAAAAACATCAGTTTCCAGTTCACCACATGGCATTTAAAAAAAATAAAAAATTAGTTTATAAACCCCGAACTTCCTTTTTTGACTCACTTGTCTCACCAGCCATAGTGAGCAGCTGTTTGCAGCAAAAAAACTTCTGATAAAGTTAGCGAACGTCCATTTGCAAGGTGGCCGTCGCAAAGTGCACAACTTCAACTAATGCTAGTGTTGCTCCGTATGTGCTGGATGTCTAAAAAGGCAGCTGTTTGCCAGAAGGTGATAATATGTCAGTGTTGGGTTCACAGCTGGTTCTGCTTATCTCAGTTTACTAAAAAAATTAAATAAATGAATGCAGGTTTCAATCTTTAACATTTTTTCAACAACAGTTGGGGAGAGAGTAGTTTGCGAGATTTAAGTTGGATGCAACAAACTACTTTGTGCAACTACATGGTTGATTTGCAAGTTAGATTTAAGATGTGACTACAGGCAAATGTTAGATTTTGAGATATTCTGCCTCCTTTCAGAATAATGGAGAGAAACTTGTAGTGCAAAAACATAATCGCCTTAATTTAAACGATCAGCTGGGGAACTTTGGGTTCAACTTTTAACCTGTAAATACTTTTTTTTTCTCAAAACCCTGAGCCATAAATATCTACTTCTGTAGCACTTACAATCACCAAACTTTTAATCTTATGCCTGTCTATATTCTGAGGGTTCTGAGGGTTATATCATTAATTCAATAAACATGGCAAAAAATGGATTTTTCCCCTCCTGCTGTTGAAAGTAGATTTTGGGTTTGTGGCATAATAAAACGAGATGTCATAAAATCTCCAGTGTAAAAACCTTCCGCTGCAACAAGAGTGAAATGAAAATCCTCAACTTCATCCAGTGTCTAGATTTCAGTTCTGAAAATGTATGAAAAATTGATAAACGAATATCTCATTTGCATATATCAGCAGTGGTGTAGCACAAAAATTATTGTCTTAATCGAATAGGAAAGGTTTATGATGATATCTATTGGTTACATCTTTACTCCCTTTACCTGTGCTCTCTCCCTTTAAAGAAATAAATTCACTTGGTTAAATAAATATTGATTTTATGATGATAATAAACCGCGACTGTCTAAGTCACATATATTTTTTGACACCGACTTGCCCGCCCTGACCTTCATATTGTCTTCAAGGGAATCCAAGCAATTAACAACATCCCAATAGCAGTCTCTTTAAGAATAATACTCCGAACTCTGCCTTATTCTCCCCTGTTTCGATGTGCTGATACTCTTGCGGAATACATGATGAAAAATGCAGGAAAAGCTCCAACTTAAAGCAGAAAGAGAAAAAGAACTTCATCCTGCTGCATCACCCTGATTAGCTCACAGCAACACCAATGCAAATTGTGGGAAAAAAAAAAGGAGACGTTTCTGAGCTGAGTTGAGACAAACCGACACCAAACTCTCACGTATAACCTTGACAACGACAGGTTGCCGAGCTGTTTGTTCGACACTTGGCAGAATGTGTGATGGGATGCGTTTTTTTTTCCATTTTCCTCTGGNGGAGGGGGAGGGAGGGGGTATCAGCATCTGATCTAAAGTAACCGTCTTACACTGACAAGAAGATACAACGCTAACAATCAAATAATTCAATTACATCTGATTCAAAGAAAACTCAATTAAATCTGTTTCAGAAGAACTCAAGTGTCGCTTGAAGTCAAGTACAATGTCTTACAAAGAGCAAAACCAAAAGCAGCAGAGTCAAGAAACAAACACTGAGTATTTGTAAAAAATAACTGTGTTCAACAGACAAAAAGGCTAAAGTCAACAACACGATGTCTTCCTTGACTCCTCTGATTTCGATACGGCATTTCTCAGTGATGTCGTCCCTATTTACAGTTTGTACTATAAACCGCTTCTCTCCGAAGAATTTTCGATGTGGATCTCGAAGGAAAATTTTTTTCTTTTTTCTCCAAAAACAGGTCAGCATAGCCCCATGTTTCAGGTCATCGTTGAGCTCGAAGGGAGAGTAACTGGGTCGTAAGAAGAGGAGGGGGTGGGAGGTGGGAGACAGACAAGACCGGAAAAAGTAAAAGCGGGGGAAAGGAAAGTAAAAAGGGGGAGTAACAAAGGGATGTTCGTTATTGTCCTGGTGACGCCTGGCAGCGCTCTGGCAGGCCTCACAGTTGATCGTGATGCAGGCTGACTCGGAAGAGCCAGGGGTGGAGCTGATGGCGGGACAGTGTAGTGCAGGGCCAGGGGGGAGGGTTCGGGGGAGAGGGTCGGGGGAGAGTTTTGAGCTGTGAAGTAGTGTTTGGGGGTAAAATGGGGGACGACAGGGAGAACAGGCAAACTGCAGTCGGCAGCAGAGGAGAGAAAAAGGAAAGGGTGGATGTTATTTTTTGGTTCAGAAGTGGGCGTGGTTGTGGCCCTGGCCCGGCTCTCCTCCTCCTCCTCCTCCTCCTCCTCCTCCTCCGTGGTGGCCTCCATCTCTGTGGCCGTGCTTCTTGTGCTTCCTGCGCTCCCTCCTGCCCTTGTGGTGGTGGCGCCGGTAACGGTGGGCTCGTCGGGCTGGTGGAAGGTGGGGGGAGAAAATAAAAAAAAACACACAAAAGAGAAAAGGGCAGACAATTTATTAGAGAAGCATGTCAGAGATGGAATAAGATGAAAGACAAGAGTGGAGAAGTGATGTAAGAGGGGAGATGAATCAGCGACGAGCATCACAAAAGCTTCAGGTAGTCGGAAGGGGAGGTGAAACTAGGTAAGAGGCGACGAAGGAAAAGGATCAAAAAGCAGGAAGGTCATGTTCTCTGTGAGATGGTTTAACTGTTTCCACCACTGAGGGAATCTGTTTTATCTCACATTCAGTAGACCGGGCGCCTTTAGCAAGGGCACACTGAACTAGCCACCCACTCACAGGCTCGGTGTAAGCTTGTTCCTGGGGTGTACTGCCAAATTAGATTGCTCCGTCCCTTTTCTGGGTTTGCCAACAAAGAAATGTCGTCTGCAATGAATGATAACAACGTTATAACTCTGGGCCATAAAAACAACTCTGTCCAAAGATAAAGAGTCATAAGCAAAGGAATTTTTATCACTTTGAACAGAAGCTACATTATTTCAGTATTTCATCATTACTGTCACACTGTGAGCGGACACAGAAGTGAAATACGCGGCTCGGGTTGCTGAATATTTATATATATATCAACCCTTTGTATGTCCTCTGAAGAAGCCAGAAATTATGGCGATAAGTTATAACATGAATTTCATCAATTCTGACAGTCTGAGTCACACTTGGTGAAGTTTATTTAAAACTCAAGGTGTAATAAAAGGAGCTGATTTGAGATTCTGCGGGGTAAAATAAGGGGGAGTTTCTCCAATGACACTGCAAAGTCATCATTTCATGCCATCTAGAAAAACTGATTTTGTGTTATTTTACTTTCTAGCACACACCTATTCTATTGCATGAAGTGTCAACCTGTTGTAAAAATTTGTTTTGAGAAGTCTTAAAGAGGGAGAAAGAAAAAAAAAAAAATCCCACCTCAAGCGTAAAACACTTCAAAGGATGCTCTGCCACTTCTAAGCATGCACAGGGGGATTTAATTCAGGCTGCAACCACCGTAATCTTTTTTTTTTTTTGCTTGAAGTTATTAACAATGAGAGCACGAATGGGAAGCCTGAACGCACACGGTGACAGCAGCTCCCGAGGGCGGTTCATATAGGAGGATGGGTCCTAAAGTGTCACCGATATACGGTTTTATTTTTAGCATTGTTAATTCTAAAAATAAGAAAACCAGAAATGTGGAAAATGACCCAACAAAATGGAAAAGGAGCTTTAAGTCTTGCTGTCTGTGGTCCAGCTCTGTGAACACCCTGCTGTGTGAAACTCACATTTTATGCAGATGATTTTGGGTCGGTCCCACTTGCCGTTGGCGCGACACTTAGCAGTGGGCACATGGCGCTGCAGGAAGCCGTCGGCGCACTGGTAGCGCACCACCGAGTGGATGTCATAGTGGGAGCGCTTCCGACCAATCAGGAAGGCATTATCCACAGTGGGGGGCGCTCCGCAAAGCACTGTAGAGGCAGAAAAGCACAGAATTTTAATCAGGTTGTCTGCCCTCGTTTGTTTACATTCCCCGCTGCGTGATTAGTATATATTGAATAAAGGAGGACATACATGACTTTTAATGGAATTCACCTCATCAGCCTGCCTCGCTAAAACATTCCAGCGTCCCTAATAAGTTCTTTGTGGCACCGCAGGAGTATAACTTGGCCCAAAACACCTCTCAGAACACCACTCACAGCTCAAAAAACCAAAATGTGGATTTTAGTGTCTGCAGGACAGAGTGTCTGTCCAAGAGAGTGGGCGCCTGTCAAAGTAACACGGCGTTTTAGACACACAAAGAGTGGAGGCAGAATCAGAGAAATGTTTACACAAGCTGAGATGGAGGGAGGACTGACACTCCGGTCAGAGACTGACAGGGTGGACAAGCCTCAGGGAAGCGCTCAAACAACTTCACCGATATTTTAACTCTCCTGTCAGGGGTGCCAATCTCCTCTGGCGGAGGCAGTGGGCGAGTGTGTTGCTACTTTGGGAGTTCCTGATAGAATTCCTGCAGCTGGAGCTCAAACGCCTTCTGGTTTTTAACTTTGTGTGCATCAATATTATAGAAACAGAACGTGCTGCTACGATGCAATGTTCTGCTGGGGAACTGGCACTGATGTGGATGTAACTTTGACATGTAGCAGCCATTTAAACAGTGTTCCTGACCAAGTACACCCCCACCGTGGCAACAGCAATCCTTGACAGCAGCAGTATCCCCCAACAAGACAGAACAGCACGCAACACCCCAAAACTGCTCAGGAACAGATCCCATTCTGAGTAAGCACCAGAACAAGCCCAATCCGTGGTGGCTCCACCTTAAAATCCAGGAGACCCACAGGATATGTTGTTGCTGGACTCCACAAGACTTTTACAGAGGTGTTCATGCTGCAATGGTTCAGAGCTGGTTTGGCAACACCAGGGGGACCTACTCAGTATTAGCCAGATGGTTTTAATGTTGTCTTTGATCGGTGAAGGTAAAGAGGCTAGCAGGAGACTGTTAGCTGTAGCTAGAAGCTACAGCGCAGTGGTTCCCAAACCTTTTCCTTATCGTGAGGTAAATCTATGTCCTAGCTTTACCAGATTTTCTTGCATTTTTTGTTATTTTTTGGCAATAAAAAAAATAGGTCACCAATGAGTAACAGTTAGGGTTGTCCTGATCAAGTTTTCAAGTCATTGCTGACACCAGTTTTCTAGATAATACCATAATACGAACTTTAAATATAGTAGATTAGCTGTAGTACCGGGTTGCACCACCAGATGGAGCATCTCAGTGTTTACTCCTGCAGCAACCAAAGGAGGCGGGGCAGTAGGCACTAGCACTGAGGGGATCTGGCAAGTAAACAGGCACCATGAGCCAGTGCACATATATTAACTTGTGTCAGGAGTAATTAAGACAATATTCCTACATCCCAGTGTCATATACAACGGTCACTTTCATTGCCTGTATCATGTATCGGCAGCTTTACCAGCAATATCAGTGCAGGACCACCAAAAATAGAGCTGATTTTATGTAATAAATGTTTAATTATTGTCGATATTGAAGCACATATCAAGTAAGTTATTAAAATTTACTATTAGCTATTCGCTAGTAATGGTATTTTATCAGGTTTCGCCTTTACAATTGTGAAAATCACAGCAGCTTTATGCCCTGATCGCATTATCACAGTCCTGCACACCAACCTGACTGCACTCCCAAAATGAGCTCTAAGTCCTTTCAAAATGAAAAGTAAGAGTCAGCTAATAACCTCAAGTATTAAGGGTCAGAGATCCTATTTTGCCAACACCAAAAACCACCATTGATTCCATCCTTGAATGTCATTTACACACTTCAGGGCTAAAAGCAGTCAGGAGAGGACTTAATCAGCAATCAGAAAATGTTTACAATCCTTCTTAATTCCCTTGTCCTTGTCCTAATACCTCTTAAATTCTTAATAAGGGAAAGCAATGTCATTAACTCTGATGAAAGGTTTAATGCCACATTTACAGTTTAATGTGTTGTGGAAGGAAAGGGGCAAAAAGCACTTCCCTGCTCACTTGAAACGATCACTGACTCGGCACAAATGGAAGGCTAAGAGGTAGTTCTCCATTAGCCTTCACCTATGTACGCTGCTGAATGATTTCTCACAGTGGGGGCAGGCTAAGGCAGACGGCACTGAAGTAGGGATGAAAGAAAATGTCACTAAACTCAGAAAAATCAAACGGAGCCACGATTTTACGGGAGACGCTTTATGTCGGAAAAGGCCTTTGTAGAAAAAAAGCCTAAAGGACGTACAGGGTTGCTAGCAAGATGGGGTTTTTTTTGGGAAAAAGCCCATAAAAATGTACTTTACAAAATACACCAAAGGCATTACTCAGCCTTTTAAGCTGTGGCTTGAATTGTTAAAATACACGTCTGGAGTTTTGTTGCTTACATGCTGAAAATAGATGCAGAAACTCAGGAGCTCAGTCCTTACTCCTCGACATCTAGGATATAAAATGCACTCTATGTAGAGCTGACTAATGACACAGCTGACTTAAGATGTTTTAAATTACTCAGCATTATGAGCTCCTCCATGCAGGTTGCATACGGTACAGTAGATCGTGCATGTGCGCCGTAAACAGCAAGTTTCTCGAGATATTTTCTGCGCCTTTGTGCCTGTGTGGCATCGGGCCGTCAGTGTGAGTTAGCAGAAAAGGGAAAAGCTGCAGACAGTTAGATGCTGGTTCCTCTCAGCACTCCTTTATGGCCTCAAAGCATCCACACACCTACCGGCAATCACGTTAGAACGAATCAGAGAGATACCAAAGTGTGAGCATTGCCTGCAAAATACCACTGGGTGTAAGTCTCACACAGCACAAATGTGGACAAATTCTGTGTTGTTTATGAAATAAATTGAAACGCTCGTTTGTGTGGATATTGTCAGTGACAGCTGCTGAGACCTACTGGTTTTGTTTCACAGGATGGAAAAAAACAACGAGCTTGAAAAAGCTGCCACTGAGTGTAGTGCATCTACACAGTAAAAAATAAATAAATAAAAATCTGACAGGAAAAGTGCCAGAGAAAGTACGTTAAAATGGTGGAATAGTGTAACATTTAAAAACTGTTAAAATGGTGAAAAATAACAGCATATATTGGTAAAATAATTACATATTTTTTAGCTGATTTAAATACAGCAGAATAGCATCATTTTACAATCACAAATGAGTGTTTTGGGCTATTTGGTGGTAAAAATGTAAATCAGTATTTCTGTGATTTTGCTAGATATTGTCTATCATTGACCAAAACAGGAAAACTCTGTAAAAAAAACAGTTCAATTTGAGTCTTTAATATATGTAATTTTACTTTCAAATATCAGCAAATATATGTTCAATAGCAATACTTTTGATGGTTTAAATACAGTAAAAAAAAAAAAGGAAAAAAAAAGATTTTAGATTTGGCTATTTTGTACAGTTTTGGTCTGTTTTTTTACTAGGCAATATGTAAACTTCTTTTTTGTCTGTGACTTTATTAGAAAATATCTGTAATTTAACAAAGCAGTGACAATCTGTAAAATAACAGTAAATTGTTGAAAAAAATATATACTTTTTACATTTTTTTTTTTTACAGTGTACTCTTGCATTTTTTCATGCTAGGGGGTAGTTTTACCTTTACAATCAGGTTGTTGTTGTTTTTTTTGCATAGGTATAGGTATCAGGTAATTAAATCAAAAGACAAAAAATCTGACATAGGATTCTTCAAACTTTATTTGAATCAAATAGCTTAGAAAGAGAAGAGAAAACAGACTCCACTTTGTGTTTTCAGCCCGTTTAGGACACGCACGCCTTTCCATGAATCTGATGGCATGTTGGCCTCCTGTCTGATGAGCAACCTGGTCAGTCTTCTGAGAAAGTTGTGATGACAATCACCAAGTAGAACCTACTAGCGTTTAACTTGCAACAGGGCACAAGTCTGAACTGCATTGTCTCACATTAACAGATGGACCACGCAACAGCGATGTTGCGAGGAGCAATTTGGGGAAGGTTTTCTTTCGCCACATTTGAGCACCAATACTGGTCCAAAAACATCACAGAGAGGAACATAGGGTTCAAGCCTAAGTCATTAAAAACTGTCCAACAATTTCCCATCTATTCCAAAGTAAAAAGTCAGACCAACAGGGAAGATTAATAAGACGCACCAACAATAAATGCAATCAGGAGCTGAAGTTTAGTTTGTTGTTTCCAGCTGTTTGTAGGAGTTTATGAAATATCTGCAGCATCAAACAGCAGCAGGATCCATGTAAGCGCCTTCAAATCTAGAAAGTTGCACGCATTTATAACTAGAATTGTAAATTATGCCTGACATGGAGACAGGATCGATCAGGATCTGTTACATAATGTAATTACAGATAGTTAACTTTGTCTATGCATTATTATGCGTGATGCAACCTCCACTATCATGACTTCATGAAGCTGTGACCAACATTAACATAAAAGTGATGATATCTGAATGACAAACTATTGTCACTTTAACAGACTGATGAAGTCAACAATGACACATATTCCATTACTGAAAAGGGCTTTTTGTCAGATTAGAAGTTTAAAATCATTACTTTACATTAACATTACATTTTACATTTGCTCACAAGTTAAACAAACAACACAAACTCATCGATCAGCTGCGCCGCCCTCCTGCGCAGCCATTGTGAGTCATCTAACTCTAAGTTTACTTCCCAAGAGGTTGAACTTTCCCCCTGACTTTGAGCTAAAGAGCAGTGTAGCAGAGCGAGAGAGCAACTCCTCGGAGATCTGGTGGCAGGTCATGGCCTCGTGAACACACCTCCCTGTGGAGGATGTAGCTGTCTGAGAACAAAGTCTGCAAAATGATAAGGTGGCGTCCTGTGGGGCAGTTTGGTGGCTGCTCAGGTGGAGGCCTACATCTTCTTCTTATGTTCTCTCCTTTCTGTGATGGAACAAATTCATCATCAGCGCTACCAAATGTATCAAATTACTATACTGGAAAATGTATACATTCGCTAACACGTCAGTCCTTTCTGTATAAAAACAGCATCCATTTGAGAGGCCTCCACTAACACACATCTCATACATAACTGAAAACATGCACGCTCGCTGATTACTCATACAGAAAAATGGTTGCCCCCTTTTATTTAAAAAATACCATTTCAAAAATGGCACATTACACACCAGTGGACACATGAATTGCTGAAGGCACTGACAACAGCCTATCATTTCCCCAAAGCGCTCTGAGTGTCTGCTGAGAATGTCATGCAAAATTAGATTTCCTCCCTCTGTGCATAATAACCCATCAAAAATAGTGGAATAATTTCATAATACTTACATGCCCTGTTGTAGGTGAATTTCTTCTCATTCTCGCCCGAGGAGCTCAGAGGCAGACGGCTGTGTGACGTTCCCGTCATTGTAATCCGAATGTAAATGTAAAACGGGGATCTGCGCTACTTGTTTCCATTTTTTTTCTTCATCCTTCCATATATGATGTTGATCCAGCAATCAAACACTGCTGAACATGGTGCAATCAGTTCTACACAGTGTGTCATTCATTCTTATTAAAGCTATTCACGCCATGTGTCTACATTTTTTATACCCTTATGCAGAGGTTCAGCCGGCTGCATGGCTTAAGCTAACTTTTTTTTCCACATTTTCTGAAATATCTAAGTAGAAAATCAGAGATGTGATGAAATCAGCAGCTTTAAAGTGTGTGATTCAGGATTAGAGGCTTGTGCAAGTTCCCTCTGCCGTCTCATCAGGTGACTGTCTCGCCTCTTTTCCTTTAAAAAATGAAAAAAAAAATCATCACCATCTGCACGACACGTCACCTCGACTGCCGCCCCCCCCTCCTCCCGAGGCGGCTGATCAAGGTGTCCGATTGGCTTGTGTGACGAGAGGACAAACGGATCGCATGAGCTGTGATAATTAGAAATCAGCTGGGGAATACTCAGCATGGAGCTGACAAAACTCCGCTGATAAGACAAGACAGTACTTGGGGTTTACTTGGGGTGAAAAAAGAGGCTGACGGGGAAGCAGAGCAGAAGATGAAAAGATGCCGCTGATTGGAAGTGACTGATTAAGGTCAGAGGTGGGCAGGATGCCAGGGACTAGTGACAGTATGCATCAGAGGTGGTGCAACACCTTTGCTTGTGAGGGAAATAGCTTCTGTTTCACACGAGAACAGAGCAGGAGCGGTTTAGGATTCATGCTTGTTGCACGAGGCTCTGAGAGTTACCTTCTCTGTGCTCTGTGAAGCACAAGAACTTTGCTTCAATTAGGATAATGACCATAAATACGGCTTTTAAGCATTCCGTGCCATCATCTGCTGGGGAGGTTTGCTGCATCTGTTGTCGTCCCTTTTTCTTGTTGTCACAAATATAAAATTGATATAAAACTTACTATTACCCAACTATTAACTCCATCCACTGTCAGCATGCATGTCTAAATACATTCTCTGTACAGCATGAGGACTTCTAAATCACGATAATGACCATCAATAAGAGCTTTGAGCATGTCATACCATCAACTGATTTTTTTGATCTCTTTTCCTGCTATTTTCCCGTTTACTGTAATTCCCTAAAAACTCCTGCATAAATGTAGAATTCACTGATTATTACCCAACTAATAACCTCACCTACTAGCAACATGCATGTTCAGATGGAAGTCTTTTTTTGATAATCCTGTCAGAAGTAAATAAAGTTTATTAATTGTAAGTCTACTTTACAACTGTTTCTTGCAAAGTGTAGGAGTAACCTTTAAGTGTGAGGAGCAATAAAAACATGAAATAAAGAGCAATCCAACTTATTTATGATGTTTAAACATGTACTGCACATAGTGATAATATTAGAAGTAAAATAAGGTAATGGAAAAAAAAGCACTGGAAAAAGTCGTGTAGCGTTGAATCAAGTGTTAAACTCTAATGCAAATAAAAGTACAGCATTAATGATATATATACATACATACAGTGCTTAACAAATCATTAGACCACCTGTCTAATTTGTTAAGCACTGTATATATACAGACCATCCAGCATCATGAAGTGACTTTAATGCACTCAGCTCTCGACGTTTTACCATTTTGAACAGGAATGAGGAATTTCAAACTGAATGAATTCCACCTTTTTATACCCAAATTTGAGCCACTGGGCTTCTCTGAGAAGTCAGAAATTAATCAAGCACAACATTCAACCACTAAAACTAATTGTTCTCTTCAGGAATGCAAGTAAATAACTATAATTTGACATTTTGTTCAAGAAATAATAATGTGTTTTAGTATTTTTTTGTGTAAAACAGTAATGGATAACAATAATAATTAGATTTTAGCATTTAAAACATCATTTTGATTAAAGAGCTTCTAGATACTGGTGTATTAACCATCACAGAAACATAAGAAATGATTTTGCTGTTAATTTAGAGCACCTGTGGCATAAACCTTAGATTGGGTGTTGGTCTAATACATTCGTTTAGCACTGTATTTGCTTCAATTAGCGAGCAATACATTTTATTACGCTCACTTCATTGTTTACTACTGTCTCTGTATTGCAGTTTTATCTACAGTCTAACTTTCTTTTATAAGTAAAAGCAGCATTTTTGTTTTTATCTGTCACTTAAGTCCAAACTTTCCCTGTTAATAGGTTTGATACATGCAGGCGCTGATCTCCTCAAAGCTCCAGGGAAGTCGTGACAATGCAGCCACCAGCATCCTGCTGTGTCCCAGTATTTCTCTCAACCAGCCACCGATTCCTATTTATATGTCTGTCTTCTCCGCGCCGGTCATAAGTCTGACCTGTATGCAAATGTGTGGCAAAAAATAAGCTCTAACAGGCTCTCAGAGGAGCGCGTAGTGACCCAACTCCAGCACAAAGACCAGGCAGCTGCAACAGGGGACATGAAGAAGAGGTCGCAGCATGTACAGGAGTTTAACCAACCACCAAGTTTGTTCCCGGACATAAAGCGGGAAGCGTTTTCCGCCTCAAAGACGCGCTTCATCCCACTGAAACAGAACATTTGGCAGAGGAAATGGAGCCGTGGTGTGAGCGCTACGTGGAGAACTTCGCTAATGCCGAGCTGGAGCGTGATGAAGAGATCGAAGACAGGGAGCGGCTGAGTGCGACTGTGAAGTGCACGGGCTGATTGAAGAGGCTCAGTGCTAATCTCTTCTACCGCTAATGTAAAGTATGACACAGTCTGGGTGTTCACAATCATCCCGGAGGTTCGTACATGTGCTGTCAGATTCTGCGCTTTAAGAGAAACAGGCCGCAACACTTGTGAGCTGCTTTACATAAAATAAAAAAAAAAAAACAGTCTCTGGAACATTTCATCACCTTTCTATCATGATTTTACTTCAGACTGCACAGACTAGAAGCCTGACAGCCGAGGGAGGTTGTTTCTCCTTTGCCCTTCTCCTCGCTCTCCCTCCAGTTTTTTAACTGCCTTTTTAAAATCTGGTACCCCTCGCTTCTCGAAGCCTCTTTTTCAGCTCCATCTTTTTGCTCTCTGCCTCCTGAACTCGCTGTCAGTCATCTTAATCACCTGTTGAAGCCACCGGAGCGCCCTCTCCGTCCACCTCTGTGCATCTCACCTGTTCCCTTCTTGCAGACGTAGGGCAGGTTGTAATTGCAGGGCACGTCGTTCCATTTGCCGTTCTCGTGAGCGATCATGACCACGCAGTCTTCTCCTCCGGCGAAGAAGTTGTCGGGCTGATTTTCCCGCCAGTTCTCGTATTGCTGCCACGTGAAAACACAGACACCGAAAACCTGAGAAACCATTCTCCCTCCAAAAAAGCATTAACAGAGATGATGTATTTGAATTAAGGCTGGGACTTTAACGCGTTAATTACGATTAATTATTACAGAAAAAATAACGTATTTAATGGCATCTTTCTCAGTTCCCTAATTTCTCACACTGTAGCACACACTCCAGTCGGTAGGTGGCGGTAACACACCAAAAGTTCGTTTGCAGACGTGAAGAAGATGCACAGGACAGCGCACAAGAAAGTTTGGTAAACAGTGACGGAAGACGAGACCGGTTTGTATAGTTTGTTGGGTGGAAAGTTGTTTTTCTTGTCAAGGCCTAACGCTACGTGTCCACAGGGGCGATTTTGCTAAAATTTGCCAAATTTGCATAAAATTAAAGTCAAATCGACTTTATGCAAATTAGGGCGACGCAACGCCTCGTCGCTCAAAACTCCCCACAACGTTCTAGGACACAAGAGGGGCGTTTCACTACACAATGAACGGCAAACAAGAAAAAGCCGGATCCTGTGGACACGTACTGAGAGCATGGTTGTGTGTAAATTGTGCGACAAAGAGTTTTAAGACAAAACACATTCAAATTTTTAATATTACAGCTACAACTGTACTTTGACTTTGCACTAATCTGTGAACGTAGTAGAGAGATGAAAAATAAACACTTTAGTTGTTTAGCTTCATGTATATGTCTGCTCATTGATTCAGTCGTCAACCAAAATGTGTTTGAATTGAAAAAACTTTGCTTACTGTGTCAAATATTGCTATTTGATAAAAATGCGATTGATCACTATTAATGAATTACCGTAAATTCCGGACTATAAGCTGCTGCTTTTTCACATGCTTTGAACACTGCGGCTTAAACAATGATGGAATTTTAATGAATTTATGGATTTTTACGAGTTTTACGAATTTACCTCGAGATAAAAGTGACATTGAGAGAGACAACAAAAGAGACACTGAGGAAGTGTGTGACAAAGTAATTCTGAGGCTGTTCAACTCCGACACTGAAGAAGACGACTTTAGTGGTTTTAGTTTGCAGGAGGAAGATGAAGATCAATGACTTTTTCTGATAGGCTACTGTATTTTTTTAACGAGCCGTGTTACAGCCACTGTTTGGAAATTTTTTTTTTATGGGTTTGTGTATGTTACAGGTACGCATTTAATTAAAAGTTTTAAAAAAATCTTGAATTCATGTTACAACGTGGACACCTGCAACTTACAGACAAGTGCGGCCTCTATATGTACAAAATTTGTTTTCTTTTTAACGTTAGTGGGTGTGGCTTATATTCAGGTGCGCTCAATTGTCCGAAAATTACGGTACAAAGCCTCGAATTAATAAGATTTTGTTTTTGTTGTTTCCCACCACTAATTTTAATATATTGATACAATTTGCAATATAACTTCTCTCAGTTTCAGTATCATGTGTAACGTGCAATTTTCATGTGCAATATTTCACATTCATGCACAATGTTGTCAGTGTCATGTATTTAACACATTTTTAGGCGCAACACTTAATTTTTATGTGCAATATTTTACCATCATATGTGATATTTGGTATGATCTCAGCATCACTGCAGCATTACATTTTATAGTTCTACTCGAGCCTTTTTTAAAAAACTCACTTATTCTATTTCTCTAATGTATCGTACTTGTATCTTATTGCTTTTCAACATTGTAGGTCCTGTATTTCTTATGTCATTTTCTTTTTTCTCAGCAGTATCTCGCACAAGAATTGCCATTGTGGCTTCATACTTCACTGCATCAACAGCTGACTACGACTCAAAACAGCTTGTTCCTCACCAGGTCCATCTTGTCAGTCCACTGAAAGTCATCCTCCACCGTGCGATCATTTAACCCGACCCAGGTGTTGTCATGGCTCAGACCTGAGGAAGAAAAAGAAGAAGACGTGAAAATCAGAGGCATGTAAACAGATTCACACAATAAAGAGATATAGTGGGCTCATTCCACCTCATTTCACCAAATTTTAAAAAAAGTTCACGTCTGACCAGCTTCAATTTGACAGATTTTTTTGCTTTTTTTTTAAAAGTGTTGAATTTTTATGATACCACTTGTCATAAAATTATTTGAAGCACTATGAGTTGGAAAACCAGATTTTTCTTTTAGTCCAGCAACAATATTATATAACTCTTCCAGTTGGGACAATATGTGAGCGGCTTCATCTATCACACCTGCTCTACCATTATCCTAATACTGGACATAAATGCAAAAAAACCTAATTACATTTTCTTTTTGCTCAGAAAGTATGCCTCTGACGGGCAACACATTCTACCTTGTTAAAGCTCCTATTGGTGCCAATCACAGGAAGAAAATCAGCCTCTTAGGGTGAAAAATGAAGGTTTTATGTTGGAATATCAGAGTAGACAGTAGAGTAGATCATATTAGCACCATCATACAACTGGTATGTGTTTTCTATTGTACCATTAAAGACCATGTCAATAAGACTACAACATTCAGGACTCTAGCGACACTATTTCTCAAGTTACGGCACTTCAAACGTTGCTCCACAGACTGGAGTGAAGAAAAGGATGCAAAAGTAGACATGACTGGTGGGGTCAGTTTTTACCACCTGTCCTTCACTCCTCTTTAGGAATTTTTAACTCAAACACTGACCCTCAACTCAATCAATATTTACCACTTTAAAAAAAAACTGTTAAATTGAAGCTGGTTGAGTGTGGGGCATTTGGTGAATTGAGGCAGAATGACCCAGTGTAATAAATTACACAAAAATAGAAAATAAATATGTGGCCAGAAGCTCTCTGTGCATGTGAAGTGACACTTGTGCATCCATCATGTTGCATACTATCCAAAAAATATATATCCATAAAACAGAACAGGCAATGCTGGAGAGGTTAAAGCTACGATGACTTTTATCTCCTTGGATGAAGCTCCAAGAACTGCTGGATGCAACCAACACTGTCATGAGTCCGTTCACGTCTTTCAAAATGCCCACATAGGCTTCTTGAAATAACACAGGCTTCCCGTTCTGAAAACGAACCCCTCATGACATAATCAAAGCTCCTCCAGAGTAACAGCAACCAGCAGACAACTGTTTCAGTTTAGCAGCTTCTTTCCTCTTCCTCTGGTAAACTTCCCCTTTGGTGTAAAATCAATAGAGCGCTCTTTAATATTACATATTGTTCTGCTATTCTGCTCCGTCCAGCAGCTTCCACATATGAAGTCCTCAGAGAAGAACAACAACAGAGGTACGCCGCTTCTGTCTGCGATGCACCGCTGATGAGATTTTCGTTTGTGTGAAAAGAAATTTCCCTAATGGATGTTTTGGGTTAATCTGGTTTGTGTGTGCGGGGGCGTCCGTGTGTGCACTTTGGCTGGGGCGCGTGCTCGAACGTTACTGTACGTAATGGAATTTCAATCATAGTGTATCTGATTAACATCATTACCAGGCCCATTAATCTTCCTAATGGCTCTGATCCCCTTATTGCTGGGGTGGAGACGTCCATTTTCGAGGCAATTAAACACACTTTTTGGTAACTGGGCGCGTGTAGAAGAAAGACGAGTGCTAGATGGATGGCACTGCTCTGGCATCTGCCCGAGACAGAAGGTGGATCCGGGATTATGGGAGCTTGCTGCTGGTGAACTGGCGTTATTACAACACAAGTGGCTGCCAGGAGAGCGGGGTTGGGGGTTTGGAGGGGGGGAAGAAACGCTAAGAATGAGGAGATGAAGGTTTATGAGGCACCAAAGAAAGACTGAATGGATATTAGCCTGGTAATGCTGACTGGCACTAATAAACGGCTCTCTGTGGCCAAATATTTAAGTCCGCCATGAACATGAGTGCAAGCTATCATTAAAATATAAGTGTAGCAATGTTTCACTCCTCGCTCGTGTGCCAAATATTCAAATAGGATTGCCGAATAATTCAGTTTAACATGAAATAGCAGATGGGCTGGCTAAGCTACAGAGGAAAGCAAACATTAAAAGCTCATAAGTGACGCAACCACAGCAAGACTGTTGAAGAACACTATAAAATCATTACCAATTTGTGTAACTTCAAACTCATCTGACACACAAATCCCCCCGCAATTAACCCAAAAAGCTAATATTGATCTTAAAGTGCACAAATCTAGTGTATAAAGTGTATTTTTGTAAATCTTTCAAGACAGTTTTACATCTTTTATTTCATTTTTTACAGAAATCTACATGAATTAAAGCTAAAATCATGTCTAACACTAAAGAATACCATAAGGACATGATAAATTTGTGTAACTTTAAACTTATCTGACACAACAAATTTATTAAAAATGCACATATTCATTTCTAAAGACCCAAATCTAGCCATGGTAGTCATTCAGTTGTAGTTTAATAGATCTTTCTAGACAGTTTCACATCTTTTTTTAACAGAAATCCACATGAATTCTAACTAAAATCATGTCCAGCACTTGTCTCCTTTAATCCAGTTTCACGATATTGACACTTGCATTTACTTCCCTTGACACAAAAGCAGTTATTACAAGCACTGTTCACCGCTATCAAGACAAATCACAGCCGAAGAAAGGATATAATAGTATATTAAACGTCCCATCGCAGACACTTACATCAGAGCCTGCAGCACCGTTTCATTGCAACAAATGGTGACACACATTAATTTAGCTGAACAGACTCCTCGGGGTATTTTTCCAGCGGGGCGCGCAATAAACTCCTTCAAGGGCTGAACCCCAAAGACATTTATCACCGAGTTACGGAATACACATGAGGCAAGAGGTGCCGTCACCAAGTATGCTAATGATAACGTAGAGGAGAGTCTGTAAAAGCAGATGAAGACATTATGACTATGAAGGAAGGTGTTCTCTTGTGCTGCCTCTTCATCTGCGCTCGGCCTCGAAACGTAGGAGTCACTTTGATCATTTGGCCAAATTACAAGTTCAGTGTTCGATAAATTGGGTCATTTTGTTAAGGTGGACGGCTTTACTGTAAATACAACAAAACACAGGAGCCTCGGCTACTGTTTCTAAGATGATGAACCTGGTTACATCAGCGAAGCACCAGCTTCATTCGACCGTCACGATGAGCACGTCGTCATGCTACGGTTAGCATTTAGCTCCGAGCGCCGCTGTGCCGAAGCAGCAGGAGACTGTTAGTCTCGCTACAATTCAAATAGGAGATTTTTTTATGCCTATTAATCTTTGCACATGCTCCAACTACACTGTAAAAAGTTATTTTTAATTTCAATTTTAAAAAGGTTTTGAACAATTTACTGTTATTTTTTTTAAAAATTGCGACTTATAAAATAGATTAAATACAAAAAATATGTAGTAAAATCACAGAAAAAAGCATTCATTTACATTTCAGCTAATAAAAAAAGAATGTTTTAACCTGTTTAACTTGCCTAAATATCAGAAACTGTCTATTAAAATCACAGAAAAGGGTATTAATTACACATTAAGCGTAACGAAAGCAAGCCAAAACTGTACATAAAAACCATATGACAAATCTGTATTTTTCTAAACAGTATTTTTTTTTGTGTTAAATCTGTAAAAAAAAAAAAAAAAAGAAAGAAAGAAAATTAAGAAAGGCAAAAGTTCCATATAATGCCTAAATAAAAGAATGAGGACTTCTATAATCGTTTATTTATTTATTTTTCTAAATCTTCTACTTAACTTTTTTTTTTTCTTTTTTAAACAAAATTCGATTGTAAAATTCATCTATATTTTGCTGTATTTAATTCAGGAAAACAATGTTATTTTACAGACATTTGGAGTTATTTGAGGAGGAAAAAAAACGGTATATTAATGGTTGAAAAATAGTAAATAATGTTTTAAAACTATTTGGTACACTTTTCATGTTGTGTTAAATACAGAAAACATCTACTAACATCACACAACAAAAGTTTAAATTTACATGCTGACTATAAAAAATAAAATAAATAAAACTGTACATCATGTTCACATCAAAAATCTGTATTTTTTCTAAATATTTAGCTGCTCTTTTTAAACATATTTGACCATAAAATGACTTTTCCCCCCCCATATTTATTTATAAAATTGTTATTTTACTGATATTTGCCATCATTTGAAACTAAATGATGAAAAAAGTCTAACTTTACATACTTTCTTTCGTTTTAAAAGTTTCATTTACATATGTATTCCTCTATTTGTAAAAAAAAAAAACAAAAACAACAAACAAACAAAAAATACAAGACGAATAAAAAATTTGTACTTTTATAAATGTTAAATATAGTAATTTGGGTTTTGTTTTTTGTTTTTCTCAATGTCTAAATGTAAAATCACACTGTTTAACTGTATTTAAATCACCTAAAAACATCATTATTGTACAGAAAATAGTTTTGACAGTTTTTGAAGCTTACATTTTTTTGTTTCTGGCACCTTTCCTGCCAGATTTTCACCATTTCTTTTTCAGCTTTTTAGTTTTCAGACTGTAGCAGTCACCGAACACTGCAGAAAATTTACTGGACTTATGAAACCTGAAATGCCTGAACTTATCTTCTTCGCTTTCCTGTGATATAAACGGACAGGAACAACCACTAAACAGCATTTCCATCGTCCGCCCTCGCTCCCTTGTCTCCCCTTCACCCACCTCTGATGAAGTTCTGCTCGGCTGCACTGTGGATGCTGGCCAGGTGGCCGCTGTGCTCCCTGCAGTCCTTCTCGGCGTCCTCCCAGGTGTGTCTGCGGCTGAAGTACCTGTAGCAGTGGCCGTGAAACTTCCTCCACGTGTGCTCGCAGCCTTCGGTGTCTGCAGCGGAAGGATTTGGAAAGAGAAGTGGGGGGAGGTAATTGAAAAGGACGGTTATTGATCAATTTAAAATCCACGTGGAAAGACAAGTGTGGATTTTTTAATCGTTAAACACCCACACTGTGCAGCACAGACAAGGATGCAGGAGGATTTAGGATTAAAAAGACCATTATTCTTTGAGTGCTACTTTCTGTACCCACACACAAGTTCCTCCTGTCTTGTAGCAAACAAGATCTACATACTACCTTCCCCTCCGTCCCTCTCATCTGAGCTTTTCCTCCGGCGCCATGTTGCTTTAGGTGCCCTCTGTGACATTCCTCTCTGCCTCCATCCCTCCTATTCTCGCTCCTGTCTGTGTCTTCTCCTCTTTGATTTGTGTTGGACTTTTTAATCCACAGCAGAGGGAAGCCGGCGAGACAGCTTAGTGCAGTGAAAGGGCGTTTTAATCTATTCAAATGACAACAATCCTTAGAAATTGCTTCCAGTGTGCAGTGCTCGCTTGGTAATTAAGCCCTGTCACAGTCCTGTCAGCACAGTGACTGTCCCTACATCCCCTTCCTCCCTCTCTGCCTTCATCTCTTTCATCTTTCCCTCCCGTCATCTCTCCGGGGGTTAGTTGTGTGACTGCGAGTTGTACATCCCGAATGCAATGTGAGCGTGGCTTTCAGTTTCCGAGCCGCCGACGGATGCTGGTGTGCAGATGTAAATGCGTGTACAGTTGATGCGGTTCAGGCTCGATCTGTCAGCCGGGGCCGCCTCCCGTTTCCCCCCGTTAACCCCTTCCCTCCTCTCCCTCCCTTGCAGCGTGGGGATCAGGGAAATGGCCTCAGCTTCTCCCCCAACAAATCTGAAGCGACACCGGTAAATTGGGCAGTGCAAATTGGGCCGTATGGGGCCCTGCTTAGTATGCAGAGAGATGCAGTCTTGGCCATCGATAGAGGAAAGGAAGAGGAGAACATTATGAAAGCTTTTCTATACAGTGATATGAAATAAGGGCCTTGAAACCTGCACTTCTTCATACTGTCGAGCTCTCCTCCATTCAGACTGTCGTTCAGGGCCATTTGAGGTACACTGCTGTGAAGTGCGGTGACATAATTTCCCTGAAATGCAACGTACTGGGTCATCGTAACGCCGCCTCCTCAGGTGAAGCTGCGTTTTATCTCCCAGAGTGTAGTTTGGCAAAACTCACGAATCAATACAAATTTGCAGCTTAAGATATATTCCTGTATTTTCTCTCTCGCAGCTCAGTGCATTAGCTGATCCAAAAGCTGTACGTAACCTGAACAAATGCCTCCAGTGGGTGCAAAAGTGACTCTCACTCACGACGAGGAAGAAAACTGCTCAGCGTGCAGAAAGCTCCTCAGTGTGTCCAACATGTAGTCGCATGTTACTTGTGCTTCGAGGGTAATTTCTGAGTCATGTCATACAATCAAGCTGTCATGTCGAAAATCAGACAGATGAATGCGTGTCGGCTGCACGAGGAACAGAAATGAGGAAAGGACGTAAATCCTGGAGGCAAGTGTCTGTCCGGTTGTATCACTCGTAAATGTGCAACTCTGCACCGTTTGGAATTCATCATGCATCCCCTGCTCCGTTTGTCACGCCTTCATCCGTCTCCATATAGCAGGTGCGATGGAAATGGACAAGCCTGTCTCGCAGAAAATTTCGCTCCCATACAACTAAACTGCATTCTCATTTACGTTCGGAAAGAAACATATTCTCCTCCAGGAAAGGTGCAGCTATGATGTAGTGGGAAATACATCCAGGTTGAAAGAGCTGCAGAGTGTGTGTCGGGGAGGACGGAGGCTGAGGTTTGCAAGTCGAGTTGGGCCGTTATTCAGAATCATAATCAGGTTTATTGGCTTAATATGTGTGTGCACATACGAGGACATTGCTCTTATAGACAATATAACACACATGCATTTAAAAAAGTAACAGATTACAGAGGAAACATGAGTGTTTAACTATGAGATGTAAAGATTAGTGCACGATACAGCTATTACTAATAAACCTTACATACATTATTTCCACGCATATGATGGAATCGTGAGTCTCAATCTTTGTTCACAACGATCATATATCGAAATCTCTGGTTGTTGTGGTGTTCACTGCCCTGTAGTGCCAATCAGAGGGCACTTAAGTCAAATGGTAAATGGTAAATGGTCTGTACTTATATAGCGCCTTTTTCTACCTTAGCGGTACCCAAAGCGCTTTACAAAGTGTTTCGCATTCACCCATTCACACACACATTCATACACCAATGGTGACAGTCAAAGTCAAAGATGTAAGCTTTGTTTAGTTCACTTTAGTTGCCATTTACTGTTTGGTTAGGTTTAGACACCAAGTCAGCATGGCTACATGTAGGAAAATGTCACACCTTGGGTTAGAAAAACTCGTTACACAATGTTATTGACATGTCTGAAGCTGGGGTAGGTTCAGGCAACAGAGCTGCTTGGTTAGATTTGAAAAAAAAAAGCTCAATTTGCTCAATTTTAAAACCTAACTACATGTTACAAGCTTGGAAGGCTTTAGGCAACAAAACTGCTCGGTGAGGTTTCAGGAAATGGCACAGTTTAAAAAATCACCCTTTCACAACACATTTCAAGCTTCTCCTCCATTTTCTGGATTCCCAGAGTGATGAGTCCCGTCCCCTAATGAATAATTACTTTGCTGAAAAGGAGCGACAGTCGAGCAATAACATGAACAGCAAAGATGTGTTGATTGCAAGCATATTTCTGATGCGTCACAAATGTAATCTGGGAGAAAGTTTACCTCGAAATTTAATTGAAAATGCAGTTTAGCTGTATGGAAATGTAATTTTTATGAGACGGGGCTGAAACTGAGTCCTACATAAAACAGAATTCTCGGCGTTAAAATGAGTTACAGCTACAATAAGGCTGGATATGCATCTGCGGTTTCAACAAACACGCCTCCGTGCGAATGAGCATCGAAAACTGTCAGACAGCAAGAGCCGGCATTAACCGCTTGATCAGATTCATCTCCTTGTTTACTTTCTGTTTGATCAGACAGCTGCTGATTCATATAAATATGTGACCAATTTTACATTTTGTACAGGAAAAGTTCTTGAAAGAACGTTGGAGAAAGCTGCCTTAGTCTGTTTAAGGATTTTGTGGGGTGAAAAAAAAATGTTCCTATTTCAAAGTGTGGTGTCACAAAGCTTTTGTACCAGTACAAAAACCTGGTTATGGCAAAATCATCAAAACATTTCAAATAATATCCAAATCTCGTCACAGCTAAGCACACGTGGGCTTAGGAGCCGGGCAGGATGACAAATTGCCACCTCACAGCAGATTTACTGCTGAAGTGGCTTTAAGGAAGATTGACTGAGCGAAGAGAGATTCCCGCTTCCACAAGACACGGATCAAGCCTTATTTACAAAGAATTCTTAGCGCTTTCCTACATATAAAATGAGGTTTCACACATCAGGAAAATGTCATGTGTCTGACATGAATCCATTTAATAACCATAAAGGTGCATATACAAAAAAAAAAATCTTCTCTCACAAACTGTAGCAGCAGCAGCTCGGTGTTTTGCTTGACTCCTTAACTTTTAGCAGACGCATCCTGGGTCCCTAATAAGCACTTGATGACTTGTCCCCTATTTTATGCAAAATACAGCAAGAAAAATATGTTCTATCTGCACTAGGAAATGATTTTGTTTGTCATACAAAACTTTACCACTTGTAGTACCTGTTGACCTTCAGGTCACATAATGAGCGGGACTTTTTTTTTTCTGCTCCTGTCCTTATTTGTTTTAACGGTGTTTTCTCAGCGTTGCTGGAAGTTGCTCTCACAATTATTCTGTAAATTAAGTGGAGGATTGCTTCATTATTTTTGCCTGCGGAAATTTCTCCTGGTAGTCCGGGGATTTCATCTGATGACCTCGAAACACGCTAATGACATGAAACCCAATTAGCCATTTTACCAGCGTCGGCCTCCTGGACGGCTCGGCGGCTCTGTGGTCTGAGGTGCAGGGGTTTAACATCGCATTCGCACTTCTGTGTGCATGAGCTGCTCATTTTTAGAACAGATTTCCATTCGCGGTGCATACCAAGAGCTCTCAGCTGCTTATAATTCTGGATGTTGGTGCCGTGTCTGTCTTATGGTTGTAACAGTTCAATCACTTGATATAGAGATTTGAAGATTCCTTGGAGAGTTTGCTTGGAGAGAAGTAAAAACAAAAAAAAAAACTTTACATATAAGTTCTATTGACAAAATAAGAAGCTCTAGTTAACCTAAAAATACCTTAAACTTGCCGGAGATCCTTGATAATAAAAAGAAAAAAGAAAGAAGAAGAAATCTGCCGGCTGCTTTTGTGTTCTCAGTCAAATGTATTCTCAAGAAATGTTTACTTTCACTAATGATGCGATGGAAGAAAGCGCGTCTCCTGTTACAGGGTGTATTAAAGAAGCAGCCCACTCGGAGCACAGTGAAGTTTATTACACAATTAAATATTAATATTACAAGTTTAAAGTAGGTGCAAAAATAATTTGTTTCTATGCAGGAACCACTTGAGACTGTATACAGTGTAAATCAAGCTGTGTCTTATCATTTGCCGCTCTGCATTCAAATGAAGATTTTTTCTTTCAATAATGTGATCTTTTCCCCCAAACTAATTAAATTTTGCATCAAGTATTATGCAGCTTACAACTCCAAGGAGACCATACAGCTCTGAAACATCAATTTAAAAATTAAGTAAAAAAACATTCAGATCAATGAATTCTCAATTGCCTGAGCCATAGTGTATGTCTGTTAGGACACTAATGGACTGGTAACCACTACAGAGTTTTGCATATTGCTTCCCTATGTTTGTTTAATGAATGCTGAAATCAGCTTGTGCTGTCAGACCAACACAAGCCCTGTGAGAAAAACGCTGCCTCTCATTCATCTGAATGAGGCGGTTCTGTTGACACAGCACCTCTGGGCTCCGGCCAAACAACACAGGGTCGCCCAGGCCATAAAAAAAAGAAAAAAAACCCA